CCCAGTAACGCACAGACGGACAACCAAAGAACAGTGTTGCCTCCTCGGGTGGAGGCATCAAAATGAACAAGGTCAAAATTTCAGCTGTAGGTTCTGTTTTATGAGTCCTCAATTACTACAYTTATGATCATATATCTTTGTTTTCAACACTTACTATGATGCCAGCSGTCCACGGGTTGAGCAGAAAAAGCGCACACACCAGAAAGGTGCAAGCCAGCACGACGCTGATGGAGAGGAGAAGCCAGTGGCGCAGACTGATGTACTGCTCCCAGAACAGGAAAGGGTAGCCGTTGGGGTAGGAGGGCAGGCCCTGTCGGCTGTAGTTGTTGCAGATCGCCCGCACGCTCTCAATGGCCTCCACGAACTGTGGCGTCTCCCGGAGCCCGTTGAGGTAGAAGGGGAACTGTGCGTATTCGATGGGCTCGGCAGCAGGAACTGGACGAAGGCACAGAGAGGAAGAAATAAATTATTAATTGAAGACTTTTACTTTAGGAATTTTCACCAAGTTAAATTATGAAGTGAAGCTGCAAAGATAATTTCCTTATACGGAGCTTTATCCCTCTCTAATTTACCTTCGTACCAAGAGAAGCTGCATCTGCGAGCGAGTGTGTACGTGGTGTGTGTACGTGGTGGGGGTGGGAGAGGTGTGCAAAACAGAGCCCCATTGACAGAAACCTAGCCAGTCTGTGGCCAGGGCTGGCTAATGAGGGCCTATCAGTTCCAGACACAGCAGACTGTCAGAACTTACGCTGATTCACAGTAATTACAATGTCAGGATTGCTGCCATTACCACACCCTAAACATAGCACCACCACATAAAACATAATATAGATGCACGGACACGTATACCTGCCTGTCACACGGCGGTGAAGTCATACTTGGTTTCGAAAAACAACGTTTTTATTCAGACGTCTGCTGTAACTCTGAGATGCTTTTGGCAACATTCGAGGATTACTCAGCACTTCCACATCTGCATACTTCACTTATAAATTTATTTTTCATATTAAAAGAAATATGATGAATGTGAGAAAGGTGGGTATAGGAGTTTTTTTTAACTGCAATTAGCCAGAAGCTATTGGTGTGACCAAATATAATCTTAACTATAAATTCCAATTACAAACTGTTGGCTTTCGAGCAACAGAAATCTGCTCTGGGGGTTCTCACGCACGCACACACACACACACACACACACACACACACACGCGCGCGCGCGCGCGCTCACACACACACACACACTAAAGAACTGCATTCTGCTTATCCAAAAACATACCCCCGTCACAGACTTCTTGCTAGTTATCCGATTGTTCATCTTATCCAAACCCAGCTTCACTTTATTGAATACAACCTCCAGACTCGCACCAAATCACAAAGCTAGACTCAAATAACAACATTTGCGATGCATTTTATGTGATTATGCACTCAGTATGTGGCGAAGAAATAAGAACAGGCTGTGTGATGTGCTTGGGATCAATGAGTTTTATTATTATTCTGTGTGTTTGTGTGTCAATGTGTGTAACGCTAGGAACCAAGGGCAGTCCATTCTTTACCATTTTACAACCACAGGCTCAACAACACTGAGGTTACACACACACATATATACTGCACTGGTATAGTAAAGACCACTATCTCACTTTGAGCTCATTCAACACAACGTGCATTTGCGTTTTTTGGAACCTAAGTAAGCTAAAAAGCAGCGACTCCATTACATTGCACCCTGCAGCATCATCACGGCTGACTTACTGCTGAGACGTGTCTCGGGCATGGAGTCGGCAAGATCATGGAGCCACTCAGGAGGGTGTGGACGGATGTTGGCCTGTGAGGCAGCATATGCTACAGGATCATTGCTGACCCAGGCGGTTAGGTAGATGTAAAAAGCTCTAGGGTTGATGATCCCGTCTGCATCCACCAGTCTCTGACGAGGCAGCTACAAAACACACAAATGAAATAATTAATAACTCAAATACCACCAGACACACCTCAACGGCTCTACTGTGGTCAATAATTAAAACAATCGACGTCCTTCACGATTCAAAATGAAAAAAAGGGGCAATTGTAAAAAAAAAAAAAGGACTTGAGGTGAAAAAAGTCTGCGGTGCTTGCAGCTGTTCGGCACATACTGGAAATGACAAGGTATTGTGGAAATAAGGTATGCTTGATCATAACATTTTACAGGTGAGCCAACCACAGAAATGCCTCTTTAAACACACGCACYAGTGCAAGAAAACCGAGCGCCACACAAATATTGGCCCCCTTTTCTCTTTCCGACCAAAGAAAAATCAACACGTCAAACACTGGTTACCTTTCTGAAAACTCCTGATTGCAGCTTCCCAGAATCATCGCACCACATTAAAACATGGAAAATGTCGAATCAGCTTCTCCCTTTTTTAAACAGCAGACACTTGCTGACCAGGCTAAGGCCAAATGTTCTGACCACTCTGAATACATTTTTAGCCGGGAAGCCTCGCAGCACTCTTTAGTCAGGATTCTCTACATGCTGACGCACCTAGACAGAATATTTTATTTGATGTTTCATTTGCTGTTAAGTTTGCTGTTTGTTATCACATGAACAGAATGAAGCAGTGAAATTTAAAACTAGCCTAGTAGACTGTTGATATTTAGTTGTTTATGAATATTAACTAACATAACAATTAACATATTAACTCAGAGGAAGACTTGTTTCAGTTTATGAGTCTGTAGACAGATTGTTTTATTATAATGGGGTATATAACTCCTTTTAGAATAAATTTTCAGGTTTTACAAAATAATCAGCCATTTAGGCTTTTAGCTATTAAAATTGCTACGTATTATCACAGAATAAAATTCTAGCATCTGGATACATTGTTTTGCCTAAGAACTACAGTTGTTCTGTGCATATAGAACTGATTTGTAAAAAAAAGTAACACAAAAACACTTTTCTGAGAATCTCTTTTTACAGTTAGAAGCAGAAGATTTCAAAGTTCCCACTATTCCATTCTGAAGTTACAAATGTTATTATTTATTTTCTTTATGGAGATGATAATTTTTATTAAAACAAACTCATTTGCCTTTTTGGCACCAAAACGTTGAGATTTAAAAAGAAAAGGACTTTACAGAGTTGATATTTTTGTCAAAACCTTGTTTTAATGTATGCACGTTTGAGTCTTCTCAAAAAGTCCCACATTAATCGTTTTAACTACGTCCATTTATTGTATGTGTACACTCAAAAAACAGATTGTTGGATTTACTTAAAGTTATGTCAACAATTCCCACTAAACTAACTGAACTTTCACATTAACACTGAAAGAAATTGTGAAAGACACTTTACACTTACTCAACTCAATGAAGTGGAAATTGTTGACATAACTTAGTAAAATAAATCCAAGATTTAGATTCCAGAACCACCTTTTTGATCTGTTAGCTTCTTTAAGCTAACATCTATAAATCCAGCAAATGACCAAACGTGTTGAACAATTCTGTCTTTTTGTAAAGATTTCTAATTTAATAATCAATTTTATCATGAACATGAACTTCAGTTTTTTGTTTTGTGTTTTTTTTTTTTTGTTTCATTGAAAGCAAAGGGCTCTGGCCTAACAAGACTACTCCTCTTTGAGGTAAAATCATTACTGTACTGCTCCGCCACTCTCCATTTTAGGAACCATAAATCTATCTTCCACAGAATTACGGAGAGCTTTTCAGGGTTGAAGCAGGACTCAGTGGGTTATGTGGATGTAGAAAGAAGCTGAGGTGTGTGTGTGGGGGGGGGGGGCAGCGAGAAAAGAAAATTTGCTTGAGTTAGCGTAACAATAAAAAAAATTGGCTGGAGTCCCTGGGCACGTCTGTGTGCAGTTAACCTGGTTGTTAACACTGAAGGAAATGCCACCCAGCAAATGGAGTAGAGCTATAAAAATAACACAACATCTGTACAAATGTTGCTCACACTCGGTTCTCCTGACCCCTATAGGTACCCAGAATGCCTGGCGCCACAGACTCACCCGGCCCGAAAAAGAAAGGGACTCTTGATAGCATTAGCATGGCTTTCCAGCCTCCTCTTCCTCCTTTTCCAGGCTCACCTCCTTCTGAGCTCACTCACAGCAATTTCACCTTTCCGTTGCCTCACACAAGGAGGGAACAGTCACCACAGAAACTGATAACTCAGGAGGGAGTGATCAAAAGGTGCAGCTCTTCGGTACAGAACCCTAACACGGCGTAACAAATTAAAACACAGAGCAGTGACTATTGCTAGGGGGTCAGCAGAAAAAATCTGATGCTCGCTGCCACTGCAGAAGGAGCGACGCATAATCAAAACATACATACGCACACGCAGCGCCGGCTCAAAGAAACCACATGTTTCAGCGCGCGCCTCAGTGAAGGAGGACACAGCAGCGGAGCACAGAGGGCAGGAGTTAGTGAAGGTAAGCCGGGGAGAGGGAGAGCAGGGGCAAGAGCCGGATTCCAGAGGATCTGAATTGAATTTAACAGCGGGATACGCAACAACGGCATGTCTTCAAGCTGTCACGGGAAGCTCGGGCAGCTCTGCAGGCGGCCCCCACAACTCAAAATGAGTGCACTTGCCTCACAGGKAGGAGGGAAGTGATGTCACGGGGCCGCACATACAGCCCGTCCGTGCTTCCTGTCAGCTCATTTACCGATGCAACTGGGTTGATTGTGTAGAGCAAATAACCAAAACATATGACTAGAAAGCAATGAAAGCCTTCATCCTCACATGTAGACATATATAAATATAAACATTACGACAGACATATTATAAATATAAAGAAACAAAATTCAGCCGAGCGGAGAACATTTGATTAAAATGACCTCAGTGTTGACAGGAAAATGGTTTGTTTGGTGTCTGAGGTTTGCAGGAATCCTGGCCAAGAATTTAGTTTCTTATATTTATTCAGCTCCTTATCTGTTTTCACTTCAGTTGCCAAATAACGCAGCTATGGATCTACATCTGTTTACAAAACGCAGTGCTACATTAAAATTTATTATAAAGAAAAAAAAAAACACATGCAATCCTCTGATGTCTGGTTCAAGCCGAGCTAATTTCCTTAGCTCCACAGACTTTCCTCTCATTTCCTCCTGTTTTTTCCCCACACTCAATCTCATTATCAGCATATTGGTATCTTTTTACTAAAATATAAGAAGCTTGATTTGATCTTCTGCAAATTTCCTCTCTAGACCTCAATCTGAGATCTAAGCTGCTCACTGGGTTGACTGGCGTCTTTGCTGGATAACAAAATCTTCGACAGTGCCAGACAAGGCTCACTTTAGCAGCTGAACTGCAAATTGTCAGATAATTAAGATAACATCATTTGCTCCATATTTTTCATGCTTTTTTTCCCCTCTCTTGCTTTAAGGTTGTGGTTAAAATCCCAACAGCCCTTCCAGTTGCCGTGCAGGCAGAATATTGTAATCTTTCACTTTCTTTAATGATGCACTGGCTTTCTGGTGGCTCTGCCAYCAGTAGAAACCAGAAAACAGCATCGCTACTCAACCCGTGTGCACAAAATGACCAAATATCACGAAGGCAACACCTATGCAGCTCTCACACAGAAACTGACTATTGGTTTAAAGGGGCAATAT